AATCTTGGTACATTTCAATCGATCGGTAAAGATCCTGTAAATTATGAGATGTCAGCTGCGACAATGTTGCGATGCATAACTTACATAAAGGATCTCCAACAATTCAATTGCTTCTGTCTTTGCCGACTCGGTAGCGAACTGCATTTCCGGCACGATGCGTCTCAAATGTGTACTTACCCAGTTTAGATAACCTGAACATTTTATGGTACATGCTCGACACTAATCTCATTGAAGGGCTCACTAATGCTGATTCTGATGAACTCGTTAATGAAGATCTTCGAATGAACTGACCTTGCAAGCGTTTGGCGTCGGGTGCCTTCTCAAACTTTGTATAGACGACATAATTACGGTCCTCAATCTCTTCACCGTACCATCTCAAAGGCGATTTGCTTGAGATGTGTGGGCCGTAAGTCTCTGAGATGAATTTAGAACAAGATCTTACCTTGATACTTTTTCTCACTAGAAGGAGAAATCTTCCAAAGAATCGCAACATACCTACAATTTCGTACAACTTAGCCTCGAATGATGTCATAAGCTCACACAGGATATCCACAAAGATGGTGCGAAAATGACCAGCTTCATCTTCGCGTAAGATAATCTCTAGAAGTATCAAAATCGTAGCTGATTAAGCGTTGTTGGTCCAATGCTTTACTCACCGTCCGCTACTATGGGGGAGAATTTCCGAAGTTCATCAGTATTTATTCGCACAGTACTGATAACCTAAATGTGAAAAAAAAAGTTATAAAATATGTGCCACTGTTACTCACCACGCAGTCTAAAGATGCACAGAGGCGTACAACATGGTTCACAGCATCCGCTTCATTAGAAGCACCACCAACCCCAAGTGATGCAGTTAACCCAATCACCTGCGAATGAAATGCAAAGATAATAGCACAATTCAAGGCGCACAGGAAATACCTGTGGCAAGCTATGCCCGGGCTTCATTCTTTTGGAAAACTTGAGACGGTGATAGAATCTCATGAGCACTGAAACGCTGTATTGAAAAAAA